AGCTCTGTTGTGGGCCTAGAAACTCCTCTCTGAATATTAAAATAGTAGAATTTTGTTCATGGCCCTATATCTCAGTAAAATGCTATTGTTTTGCTATTCAGAGAGGATTCGTAGAATTATAGACGCATATAAAGGAAGTCCTGAACAATTTATAGCTCGTTTAAAAGAACGTGATTAGCTGGGTATTGTGTGAAAGTGTCAAAGCTATAGCTCTATTGTGGGCCGAGAAGATCCTCTCTGAATATTAAAACAACAGAAATTCGTTACTGAGGTTTTGGTGAGTCTGGAAGAACCACTAGCTAAAACGAGCTTTTAACTCGAAAAAGGAGAACTCCTGGACGATTTATAGCTCGTTAAAAAGAGCGCGATTAGCAACGTATTGTGTGCAAGTGTCAAAGCTACAGATCTTTTGTGGGCCGAGAGAATCCTCTCTGAACATTAAAACAGAAGAATTTTGCTCATGCCTTTATATCTCTACGAAAATAGGGAATTCCTGGAATAAAACTTATTGCTCGGTGAAAAGAGCGCGAGTAGCTGTGTATTGTGTGCAAGTGTAAAAGCTATAGCTCTTTGAAGGCCGAGAAAATCCTCTCTGAATATCAGTAAAACAATGGAAGTTCGTCAATGAGCTTTTGGTTAGTTTGGAAGAACCATAAGCTAAAACGAGCTTTCAACTCGAGAAAGGAGAACTCCTGGACAATTTATGTTCGTTAAAAAGAGCGTGATTAGCAGCGTTTTGTGTGCAAGTGTGAAAGCTATAGCTCTTTTGTGGGCCGAGAAAATCCTCTCTGAATATAAAAACAGAAGAAGTTTGCTCATGTCTTTATATGTCTACGAAAATAGGGAATTCCTGGAATGAAATTAATAGCTCGTTAAAACGAGCGCGAGAGCTATATATTGTGTGCAAGTGTCAAAGCTATAGCTCTTTGTGGGCCGAGAAACTCCTCGCGGAATATTAAAACAATTGAAATTCGTTAATGAGCTTTTGCTTTATCTGATAGAACCAGCAGCAAAAAAACTATTGTTTTGCCATCCAGAGAGGATTCGTAGAAGTATAGACTCATATAAAAGAAGTCCTGGACAATGTATAGCTCGTTGGAAAGAGCGTGATTACGGCTCTGTATGGTGTGCAGGTGTCAAAGCTACAGCTCTATTATGGGCCGAGAAAATCCTCTCTGAATATTAAAACAATCAGGAAATTCGTCAATGAGCTTTTGGCTAGTCTGTGAAAACCACTAGCTAAATCGAACTTTCAACTCGAAAAAGGAGAAGTCCTGGACAGTTTATAGCTTGATGGAAAGAGCGTGATTAGCTGTGTATTGTGTGCAAGTGTCAAGGCTACAGCTCTTTTGTGGGCCGAGAAACTCCTCTCTTAATATTAAAACGATAGAATTTTTTTCATGGCTTTATAACTCTACGAAAATGGGAAATACCTGGAATAAAATTTACAGCTCGTCAAAAAAGGCGCGAGTAGCTGTGTATTGTGTGAGATTGTCAAAGCTACAGCTCTTTTGTGGGCCGAGAAAATCCTCTCTGAATATGAAAACAGTAGAATTCTGTTCATGGCCTTATATCTTTACGAAAAAGGGGAATTCCTGGACAATTTATAGCTCGTTGGAAAGAGCGCGATTAACTGTGTGTTGTGTGCAAGTGTCAAGGCTACAGCTCTTTTGTTGCCCGAGAAACTCTTCTTTGAATATTAAAACGGTAGAACTCTGCTCATGGCCTTATATATTTACGAAAAAGGGGAATTCCAGGACAATTTATAGCTCGTTGGAAAGAGCGCGATCAGCTGTGTTTTGTGTGTAAGTATCAAATCCACAGCTCTTTTGTGGGCCGAGAAAATCCTCTTTGAATATTAAAACAATAGAAATTCGTTAATGAGCTTTTCGTTAGTCTGGAAGAACCAGTCGCCAAAACTAAAAATATTCAGATGTAAACACATGAATATTGAAACATACTGTGAAGAACATATTTCGTAGGAAAAAAGTTTAATTGTGGGAGGAAATCATAAAAGATCACAAAACAAATGCGAAGATTTCTCAACTTTGGCTTTATTTCCATGTATAGAACTTTATTAATATATACTATAAAATGTCTTCGATAGGAAGTCATTAATCTGTTCTTAACCCTATAATATCTTCTTTAAAAAATGTCAAAATAGTTTTTTCCGAATGCTTCTAAGATGAAATGGACCAGCTGAAAGAAGCACGTTGCACTTGTATATTAAATAACTCTCTTACAAATACATTGAGTAATAAATGAACCTTCTGGTAAAGAGATTTAAAAGAAACTCAAGCAGAAACCTTCTTCTGCCTGAATCTTTGGTGGATATATTATTCATATACAATAGTTTACGAAGGTAGTGCGCTCGTCAGCCGCAGTAGTAGAAAGCTTTTTGTGAAGTTTGTCGACGTGGTATATGCTTGGAATTGCTTTGAGTCTAAAGTGATTTTTTTTTAACTGAGGCAAGAGTTTGTTAATTTAAGTTGGCAGAATCCATGCTAGTAAATCAAGACATTATTTTTATTTTTTATTTGTTAAAGGGATCCTCCACTGTTTTCGAAAATATCGCTTAAAATGCTCTTTAAGTGTGCAAAAGTAGATTTTTCGGACAGAAAAATTTTCTCTCCCCTTAGATTTTTCGTTTTGGCCTCTCAAAAGAGGCCTTCATGACCAGTTAGAACGTCCCACGATCGCCATTTTGATCGGCGCGCAAGGCTCTCTGGGGAGATGACGCAGCGATTCGATAAGGATGTCCTTCCAACAGCATGAATCGAAACTCGTGGAATCGCTGCATCATTCAGAAAATTGTGGAAACGAATTTTGGGATCGTTTTTCCTGTTTTTAGCTTGAATACCACACCAAAAAGCAACGCAATGCGGCATTTTGCTACCAATTTTAGCGAGGGCAAGGGAATCGAGCAACCATTTTACGTCATCACCCCAGAGGGCCGTGCGCGCCCATCAAAATGGCGATCGCGGGACGTTCGAACTGGTCACGAGAGCCTCTTTTGAGAGGCCAAAACGAAAAATCTAAGGGGAGAGGAGATTTTTCTGTCCGAAAAATCTACTTTTGGACACTTAAAGAGCATTTTAAGCGATATTTTCGAAAACAGTGGAGGATCCCTTTAATATTTTGATATATATTGCTTTGCTTTTTATTTACTTCACAGCGATTCGTCCAGAAAATTCGTGCCAATCTATCAACCAATCAAATGCAAAACTAAAACCAATCACGACTTGGTCACCCACATTTTCCCGCGCTTTTGGCAGTTCGTTGTTTTTACTTTGGCGTTTTTACTTTATTGGCTCTTAAAAGTATTTTCCTCCTCCATCGCGGTTTTAGTTTTACGACACTCAATTGAAAAGTGCTGTCAGTGATACTTTCCTGCCAAGTAAAGAAGACGCAGCAGTAAATTAACTCGCGAAGATCTTAACGAGGAGTTTTCAGTTTTTGTACTTGGCTTATCACAACACTACACTATCACATGTGACTGCCAAATTAAACCAACTGTAACCATTACCCTTGGTTTAATTGGTGACCTCGAGCTGATAAAGACAAATAAAATGGAATTTTCCACGCCTTAAGTGAGAATTGAAGAAAAAATTGTGTTAAGTAGAGAAACTGCGCGAAATCACAGCCCTGACAAAGTGGAGACTGCGTTAAATTAAGCAGAGAAAACTGCGCACAACTACAACAAATATTTATCTGATTGGTACCCCACGTTAGAATCTCCCCTATGATTAGCTAAAAAATAACCCGTAACACCTCTAATAAAGGAATAGAAACCACTACTATAGAAAGTCATAGAGAAACGCTCCAACAGTGAACTTTCAACCATTGGATAATGATATCACTCTTGATACACTGTCGTGCCGTTGGGAGTGTTTTCGTAAGTAGTGGTTGCTAAGCTGGCTGCAGGAAGAGCGAGGAGAGAGACCAGGTTGTGGTTCGTTCTGTCTTATGTCGTTTGCTCGTTTATATAACTGGGCAGCTTTCTCTGGATATCCCTGATGGAAAACAGTAGGATTTGACAACGTCATCAAGGCAATTACAGCACTTAAGAAGACCTAGTATCATGTATAGCTGCTTATAGTTATAGGCAAACAAAAGTCAGGCAGAAAAAAGGATCGCATGGGAATTGAATAGGATATTGGGCTACAGCTAGTCCGTGTATGAAATCCAAGTGTATGACCATTTCAGTGAGATTCTGGGCGGGAATGTTTTTAGGTCAAACAGCTCACCCAAATTGAAAAGAGCCTTTGATTTACCAGGTCGTAAGATAACTTGGCAAGGTTGACAAGTGTCTCGGCAACTCGTGGGTGTGATCCACCCAGTGTGTCTTCATAGATGTGTAAAGCTCGCTCATACAGTGGTAACGCCTCTGACTGTCGGTCCTGTCAATCAAATCAGGTACAATTCACAATAATTACCGAGGTGGAGGTCAATATTGCTAAATATCTTCTACTTAAACTCACACTGAAGAAAATATTTTTTTTTTAGTAAATACCACACAAAGCAGTTCATGTCGGAAATTAACCTCGTGACGCGTGATTTTTTTATCGCGTGTTTTAAGGTGAATAGAGCTAACCAATCAGTGGGCGCGAAAAGTACTATTGAACTGTGTGGTATATGCTAGCATAATTGGACGACTTCTTATCATCCGCAGAAAGAAAAGTGCCTTAATTGATGCTTTATTATTCCAGTGGCCACTTTACCTGAAGACATAAAACAACAGCAAGGTTGTTTAAAGCTGTGGCAACGCTTGGATGCGATTTACCGAATGTCTTCTCTCGAATTTCCAAGTCTTGTCTGCAGGGTAAACATGGAAATGGTTAAGGGCTTCATACACCATTAACAACACCAAAAGGAAACAACTTTGGGAGTGATTTTAAAAGTTGGACAAAAAAACGTGATAACAATGATCTCTCCATGGAGAAATTAAGTATTGTTTTCGACTAAAGAGAAATGCTAACATACACTCGTTTTCACACTGTAAGACATAAGTACAAGAGCATACATGCTTGTTAAGCTCACCTGTATAACGGCTCTGCTGAAGAATATTTACCCTAACAATAAAAACAAGAGATTCCTTTAGAATGAAAGCGTTTCTTGTTTCAAGAAACTGTCTGTGAATTAGCAATGACACCGTTAGAGAGAATATTAGTGTACTAAGCTGCAAAAGTGCAACTTAGGACATCAAGTTGAAGTGACTTCTTGTTAAGTCATTACAGGTCATTACAGGCTATACGTAGAAAAATATTCAAACCTGCTTTCGGTAAAGAACAGCTAAGTGTTTAATTGTAGATGCTACACTTCCATGATGTGGAGGAAAGGCCTGCAGAGGAAAAAATATCATTTGAAAGGGAAATTCTGCAAATCTTCACAGTGCCAAAGGTAAATTGCCTTGTTAAAGAAAAAACACAATGACTCGATCCTTTCACCACTTGAATGAAGTCCTACCTTTAATCTTATTTGATAAGCTCTTGAATAGAGAGGCTCGGCCTTTTCAAACCTAGAAGACATTCATCACAAAATATTTACACCTGCAAAGATAAGTAATCATTTCGAAAACATACTTTCACCTTGAAGTATGTCTGAACGTAGGGGTGTATCTGTCAACAGTTTAGGAAGAGAATCAAAGTAAAGAAACGATCCTTTAAGAACTTACAAGACGGCAGTCTGAAACAATTCGGTATTGACAGGATTCGTCCCTCTACTTCCCTGATACTAGTTGGGCGCTGCTACTAACTGAACTACGAAGCAGCATGTTGAGAGAAAGGGAAGAAGGGATAAAAGGAAGGAAAGAAGAGGAACAAAGAGTGTGTTAAAAAAAGCTGTTCCACACATAACCTCTATTAAATCACGCAAGCAAATATATGATCACGCACGCACAAAAATAAAATCACGCACGCAAATGTATGATCACGCACGCACGAATACAAAACCGCGCACGCACAAATAAAAAATTACGCACGCACAAATACAAAACCACGCACGCACAAATAAAAAATCACGCACAAGTATAAAACCACACACGCACAAATATAAAAAATTATTTCTGCACAATTATAAATTCACGCACGCACAAATATTTGATCACGCACGCAAAAATATAAAATTACGCGCGCACAAACAAAAAATCACGCACGCATGAGTAAAAAATCACGCATACACAAGTAGTACTTACAACTTTTGGTCATTGTACAAGGCTGCCAAGTTATGCAGAGATTGGGCCACATCCGGGTGATCGGGACTAAGAACTGCCTCGCGCATCTCTAGAGAACGCTGGAAGAATGAACTGGCCGCTCTGTCAGATAAAGAGAACAATACACACTCAGCAAAATCAAGGTAATAACAAAAGTCACTCAGAGTAAAGAAAAAATCACAGCCAGCTAATGAGAACTCAAATTTAAAATCACGTGGGCTGGACTTCTCAAGCGCGAGAAAAATTGTGATTACTAAGTGGTTATAAGTCTTTGTTTTGCATCTGATTGGTTAAGAGGGAGACGCTATTCAGACCAATCACAAGGTGGATTAAACCAAAAGCACTGTTTTCCCGCATGGTTGTCGACTTTCACTTTCACATTGCATTGTACTTGGAAATTTTACCCAAAGAAAAAACCTAAGAGCAAGAAACAGATAAAATAAAACGTAAAGGGGCTAAGTTTCTTTAGAAACTGTGGTGCTGCACCGGTGGGAGGGGGGAGGGGTAGGGAGATGGGGGGAGGTGTATCACAAGGTAATTTGGTTTTATCACTCCAGATTGGCCACTCACACATAGATTCTGAGGCTGACGTGTCGAGCGTTAGCTCTTCGTCAGAGCATATAAAACTTACTCATGATTATTCTGAAGGAAGTACAAAACTCCAAGTTCATTGAGCGATCGAGCCAGTTCAGCGCTTGGTGATCCACGAGCGAGTTTTTCCACTTGCAGGGTCTTCTTTTTCAAGTCACTCAAATCAACCTGAAGAGACACAGAAATGGTGTAAAGTATGAATAAACTCTTAACACATTAACATCAGTATGTGTTACAACAGATTTTGGGGCCAGCGGTCTGTTCACGTGGTGGGGTTCAGTCCCCTCGCGTCAATATCTATATTGTAGTGTTCGCGCGTGAAGCTTCGTTACGTTACGTAGTTTGGTGTTGTATGTCTTTAAGCTGCGTCTCGCGTTCTTTCAAGATCCAAACCGTCAGGTGTTTTACGTTTTCATTTCGCCGCGTTTATTACGTTTATTATTTCGTTTATGTCATTTATTTTCGGTAATTAAATTCAATGTAATTTAATTTTATTATAGAAACCACTAATCAAGAAATAAATGTATAGGGTTCGGAAAGCCATTGAGTAATGCTACCGGTGCGTACGTTACAGTATGCGTATTCTCCATACTGTTCTCTATACATTTCCCAAGGTGCTGCCAAGGAGAATTTGTTCATCAATCAGAGCTTCTTTAGTTGGTGATCATTTCCTTTATTCTCCTGACCTTAATGCTTGACTCAGGTGTGATATTGTAAGGAGAAATTAGATGTTAGTCTCTTAGGGGCCAGAGGATAAACTGTGACGCAAACTACCAAACGAGAGGGTTCATGTTCTTTTCTAACATTATTTTCAGGGGGGGGGGGAGGGGCAAAAACGGTTGGATCCCATTCAACTCTCAACGGGTGATAAAAAAGAACTTCACCTTACGATACCAGTACACCAACTCCTCATACTAGAATCATGAAAAATGTATGGCAGACATTGCAGAGAAGTTAATATTCATGGAGTGAAAAGGATTGACATTTTGTTTTAATTTGCAGATATGAGAAGACTACAAGTAAGACAAGGTTGACCTTGTTGAACGTGTGGCTGCAATTCATGCTGGTGCACAAAAGCCAAGTACCCCATATGTCAGGTACGTATCCCTGCTTCAAAGATACACCTGCAAAAATATGTATTGCAATGCCGCACACCACCCCCCTCCCAATCTTACACCCTTCCCCACACGAAGCCATTATTTGCATGGATATAATCTCTTGTTACTCACTGACGAGTTTGCCTTCTGCTTGATACCCTCTGCCTGTTTACGAAGAGACTCTGCCATAGCATGCCTGTAGGGTATAAAAAGGGGTTGAAACGTAAACCTAAAGCACCATTCAAAATCATGTAGTTTATGAACAAGAATGAATTGAGAAAAAATTCAAAACACCACTCACTTCTCCTGTTTTTTGTACAAAATAGCCAAACCCTCTAAATCCTGAAAAGGAAAAAAAAAAGATTGCAGTTCAACCTTCTGTCTGTCTGTGTTGTAAATCACAAACCCATAGATCCAGTGAATGAGAGGTCAGCGGACTTCAACCCAACTTTGATTACCTTAATCAGAGAGGGGTGATCTCTGCCAAGAGCATTTTCCTTTATTTCTACCGCATGTTTGAAGAATGCTTCAGCTGGGCTATAAAGGGAGCAAAGAAATATATAAACATATCAGCAATTCATTTTGTGGTCTCATCTCCTCAATTGTCAGTAACTAGCGGCATCAACCATACGACTTATTCACGGAATAAATATAACCAACGAACAGCACGACACAAATATAACCAACGAACAGCACAAAACAAATATAACCAACGAACAGCACAAAACAAATATAACCAACGAACAGCACAAAACAAATATAACCAACGAACAGCACAAAACAAATATAACCAACGAACAGCACAAAACAAATATAACCAACGAATAGCACGAAACAAATTCATTTCACCGAAGGATGAAAACTGACCAATCACGGCAGACTTATGCTTCCTGAGTCTCACATTCAACAACATCATAACTAAACTGACCAATCAGGTTTCACGAAGCAGACTTCTAACACACGACCGAAAACAAGTTATCACGAGACTCTGATATGACTTCCGCTCAGGTTGTAGAAACGTCAGTCGCTACCACCGACAACAGTTCTTTTCAAAGATAGTCTTCCCTTGACGATCAGACCACACGATCAGAACTTCTGGTATAAAGCAATTAAAGAATCTTGCCTAAAATCACAATCATTAAGTCAACAAGTTTTTGCTACCTAAACTTTCCCCACTGGGCATTCAAACCAGCCAGATGGTGCAAAGACTGCGCCACAAGCGGGTGGTCTGGGTCGAGCACTGTTTCTCGGATTTCCAAGGCTCGTTGCAGCAGTGGAGCAGCCTGGAAATAATTCAATTACACATTAAAAAAGATAGAATTTTCCCCCTTTAACACGAATCCCTCGGATGTCGCGCCACGATCCCATGACCAAGTACCACTCTGCGCAGGAGATTATGTCACAGTTTGCACATCTTAAAAATTCAGCTTTGACTTTTCAATTTCATAATTTGGAATCGGTGTTTATCTACTCTATACTTTACCATTCTCACTCCCTTTCACCTTAATCTTAAGGAACCAATCATATAACAAAGTAAAAACAGGAAAGAAAAGCGCGGGAAAACGGGAGTGACCGTGAGACGATTGGTTTTTGTTTTATATCTGATTTGTTAAAAGAG